AATGGTTGTATCATTTTGCATTCCCACCAGTAGTGCATAAGAGTTCCGATCTCCCCGCAGCCCCTCCAACATTTGTTATTTCCAGTGTTTTTGAAACAGCTAAACTATTTTTAAAAGTGACTTTTTCATTGTCAAAGAAATGTATGAAAGTTTCAATTACTTTCTTGCCATCAGTTGATATTGGCAGTCATTTTAATTTTAACCATTCTAGGGGATGTAGTTGTATTCCTTGTTGTTGCCCAAACAGTTCAATGTCCATAACGTCACTGAGTTGATTCTGACTTATAGTGACCCTACATAACAGAGTATAACTGTCCCATAGGGTTTCCCAGACTGTAATCATTATGGAAGCAGATTGCCAATTCTTTTCTCCCATGGAGTAGCTGATGGGTTTGAACCGCTGAGCTTTGCTTAGCAGCCTAGCCGCTTAACCATTGCACCATCCAACAGCACTCCTTTGTGGTTTTGATTTGCATTTCTCTGATGATTAGTGATGTTGAGTATCTTTTCCCGTGCTTAGTTGTTATTTATGTATCTTTTATGTATATCTATTATGCCCATCTGTCTTTAGTTAATTTATTTTTTATTGTGGTAAAATATGTACAACATAAAATTTACCATATTAACATTTTTTAAGTGTACTGTTCAGTAGTGTCAGGTGCATTCACAATGTTGTGTAACTATCACAACTATTTATTTCCAAATTTTTTTGTCATCTCAGACAGAAAACTCTAGACCCATTAATCAATAATTCCCTATTCCCCCTTCACTCAGCCTTTGGTAACTTCTATTCTACTTTGTGTCTGTATGAATTTGCCTATTGTAGATATGTTGTATAAGTGGAAGCATTCAATATTCGTGCTTTTGTGTCTAGCGTATTTATTTCACTTAGCATAATGTCGTCAAGATTCATCTGAGTCATAACATATATGAGAACTTCATTCCTTTTTACAACTACATCATATTCTAACATATGTGTATTTGTGTAAATATTTTACAAATATTTCCTTGGTCTGTCCCATGGTGTTTAGTGTTCTTGATATTTTTGATGCACCTGTATATAATATTGTTTTAAGATATTATTTTCTAATTGTTGGGTTTAGTATGCAAAAATACAGGTGATATTTATGTGTCAATAGTGACTGGAAAATTTACATATTAATTCTGATGGTTTGTATTATGAGGCTGTTTGTAGTTTTTTGGGTTTTCTGCAAATAATGAGAGCTTTATTTCTTCTTGGTGCTCAGGACCTCCATATAATGTTGAATAGAAGTGGTTAATAGTGAACATTCTTATCTAGTTCCTGATTTTAGGGGGAAAGCTTTCAGTGTCACAGTTATGAATGATGTTTAGTAGTGTTTGTTCTTAATGTTCGTACCCTTAATCAGATTATTTCTTATCATGTTTGGATTTTTAATTTAAACAAATGCTTTGCTGTACTTATTGAGATAATCATATGATTTTTCTTCTGTATATAATGTTAATTTGGTGGATGATGTTTATATTTCTCACCTAATTTTATATTCCTGCATTATATGTATTATGATCCTTCTTTGGAAGGTTGGAATCAATTTGCTAAAATTATTTTTATAAGGGATTTTAATATTATGTTACTAAGGAAATGTGGAAATTACTGTTCCCCTCACCCATTTTTTTTTTTTAATAGTAGCTTTTATGTTCTTTTAGCACAAGCCCTCCTTACTGCTGTGTTGATCTGTATTCACTTCGCACTGGGGAAATGGTCAAGTCCATTCAGTTTAAAACACCAATCTATGACCTCCACTGCAACAAGCGGTAAGCATTTTTTTGTCTGTTTCTTCACAAGATAACGAACATCCTGGGCACATAGAGTTCTACCAATTACATTGACTATAGATTTATTTAAAAAAAAAAATCTCGGGGAAACACCTTCTGAATTTTTCCAAATGCAGTAGCTGTTAAGATTTCTCTATAAAAACTTTTAGTTTTGAGCGGTTAGTGAATTTGAATTCAGCTTGGTGGGTCATGACCAGCATTTTAAAAAATAAATTGGAATTGGAAGCGAATATTTGAGCAAACAGTCAAACTGAATAGTGTTTCGAGAGACATATATGTATATATATAATTTTTTAATATTCATAATGTGTGTGTTTCTGTGTTGTTACTGTTTTATAATATGAAATGTAACTTTCCTATGAGATATCATCAAAACATTTGAAAAGCATGTTTCTAGAAATTAAGAAATGTTTTAAAATAATCCTTATTCCTTTATACTTCATAATGTAACTATATTAGTATGTTGATTTTACATCACAATTTCCTTATGTTGCAGATATGTATACTAGAAAACAATAAAATAACAACCAAAAAGAAACTCTACCTCTTACCTGTTTAAAATAGTAGCCAGTTTTTTTTTATTTTTTCCAATACAAAAATTTATGCATACACTGTTATGTGACTTTAATTCCTCTCCCCATACTGTGACAGCATGCTCCTCCTTTCCACCCCTGATTCCCCATGTCCATTTAAGCAGCTCCTAACCCTCTCTGCCTTCCAATCTCACCTCCGGACAGAAGCGGCTCATTTAGTCTCTTGTATCTACTTGAGCTAAGAGGCACACTCCTCACAAGTATCACTTTATGTCCCACAGTCCAGTTCAATCCCTGTCTGAAGAGTTGGCCTCAGAAATTGTTTTAGTTCTGGGCTGATAGAGAATCCAGCGGCCGTGCTTTCCGGAGTTCCTCCAGTCTCCGTC